TGTGGCAAGCATGTGTCCCGTGTGTGATAAACAAAGAAAAACCTTTAAGTGTGTAGAAAGAACAGTTTCATTTCATCATGATAATCATTTTATTTCACAGTGAAACAGAAGGACAGTTGTGCATGTACATGACTCCTGTTTATGATAGCATAAACCGATTAAACAGTTTTCTTCATTTAAGGAATATTTCTTAACTGAGATTTGTAGTCTCCTCATCTAAACTAGAGAAGATGTGCATGCATTTGTGTTCAAAAATTACTGCTCCTGTTTTACTAGGCTTCAAATAAATATCTCTTTCACTCCTCCAAGTGATCCGACTGCTAATGCAGAAAAAATAGCTAAATAGATGGATAATATATGAAAAGTGTTATAACATAACATAAAACCTGCAGATACAGTCTGTTTTTTTGTGTTTGTTTGTTTTTAAGACAGTTTAATCACAAGATATTAAAAGAATATCAATTAGCTGCAGAGCACAGAGACATCCAGGAATCACTGACAGTATACATAAAAAATCTCAGTAAAATATAGAAGTTTGCTCACACACCCTTATTTTTTTTAAAAATTCATCTTGAACTATGATGGAGACAAAGAAGAGCAGCTGTACATTTTTGCCTCTTCTTGCTTCTCTTTGATGTCGATTTCTCCATGAGTGACATCTTCTGTTCCCACTGCTGAGTCGACTGCAGCTGCATCACTCTCTGCACAAGAAAACACATAAAGCGAGCATCAGTGCAGGCAGGACAGTCCTACAGATACTGCTGCTGTTACATTAACGATGACATAAAAATCATTCAGATTAATCATGCTCCACCTTTTTGTGCAGGACTCAAATGGGACATGATAGAAAACTGATCAGGTCCAGCTGTCAGGTTGTTGTGTGCGGGCGAGGAAGAGATGACCCAAACGCAGGACTCATGGTGCAGAATGATGAGGATTTATTGGAGCGAGTGAAAGAACAGCAGGAACGACAGGACTGACTAACTGACTGGAAGACTGAATGGCTGGCTGAACAGCTGAACAACTGAACACAGGCGGAAACGACAACAGTGACAACATCAATGACACGACGGTGAAGGAGTGGAAACAGAAGACTGATGAGGATGATAATGAGAGAAAATAATGTGGCTAACGACACATTAGACAAGCTTACACAGGAAACAGGAAGTGAAAAAACATGGATGTGGCAAAATCTGTGCTCTCCTCCCGTCTCATTCCCTCCTTATATTTAAGGCCTGTGTTTCTCTCTGTCAGTGTTGTGTCGTACCTGCATTACACTGAGTGGTTTTCCCTCTGAATTGCTGAAGGTTAGTTTTGCTCTAAGTCTGGTTAGTTTCTCTCATTCATGCCACCAAGTTTCTTGTTTTCATTATGCAGTTTACTTTCTATTTGCCATTTTTAAGGTTTTGGTTTGTTTGTGAAGTTATTTCTGATGATGCAATAAAGCTGCCGCTTTCAGTTCATCTCTCTGCGTTCAGTGAGTTCTGCATTTGCCTGCCACACAGCACACCATGACAAGGTCAGGCTTTGAACAGTAAACACAGCCACACATTAGAAAAGACAGAAAAATGAAAAAGCAGTAAAAAGCCAGTGGCATGGAAAAATAGGAGGGAGAGAAACAGCTAAACCTGGCATGTGGGGTTTGTTTAAACCATTGTTTCCTAGATTCAAGCATGGAGTGTGAAGGGTTATTTTTGTCATTATAATTTAGTTTTATTTTCATATCAATCATAACAGCTGTTGCCTAAAGGTTCTTTCTATTGTAAAACCCTATAAAATGACCCCTGTACAAGCAAACACTTGGCAACAGTGGGAATGAAAAACGCACTTTTTAACAGGAAGAAATCATCTAGAACCAGGCTCAGGTGGGAGCAACCATCTGCTGTGACTGGTTAGGGATGTGTGGATGAAGACAGGACAAAAGACATATGGAAGAGAGACAGAGGTTAATAACAGATATGATTCAATGCAGAGAGGTCTGTTAACACATAGTGAGTGAGAAAGGTGACTGGAAAGGAAAAACTCAATGCATCATGGGAATCCCCGGCAGCCTACGTCTATTGCAGCATAACTAAGGGAGGATTCAGGGTCACCTGGTCCAGCCCTAACTATATGCTTTAGCAAAAAGGAAAGTTTTAAGCCTAATCTTAAAAGTAGAGATAGTGTCTGTCTCCTGAATCCAAACTGGAAGCTGGTTCCACAGAAGAGGGGCCTGAAAACTCTCTCTTTCTAGTCCCTGTCAGGACTCTTGCTGCAGCATTTTGGATTAACTGAAGGCTTTTCAGGGAGTTTTTAGGACTGATTGTTTACTGAGCATATACTTTCACAAGATTACTGCTACGAAACATGAAGATGGACCTGAATCACAAGGCTGTATTTGAACTGATGACTACAGACCTGCTTTCATGAAACCCCCCGTAACTACAGAAAAATGCAACAGGATGTCAGAAAACTCAAGAAATTATTACAATGCTCCTCCAAGTGAACTCTGTAATGATAGTATTTTTGGTAATAAAAGAAGTGTGACAGATGCAGTTTTTTGTCCAGAACTTTTAAATAATTCTGATATCAGTTTGTCTGTGCTGTGTGTGTATGTGTCTGTGTGTGAGTGTGTTTGTGTGAGTCTGTGTGTGTGTGTGTGTGGGTCTGTGTGTGTGTGTGTGTGATCCTTAAACCCTGAGGAGCTGACGAGTTTTCATCAATAGATGGAAAGTGGACGACCACAGAGCTGTTAGTCTTTGTTATACACAGGGTGAAATACACTGTTTGGAGCACAAAGAACAGCACTCACCGCTAACAGATACTGCAAGCACAGAACAACTACTTAGTGATCTATATATACTGTAGGTCTTTGACTAAGCTTTTAAAAATGGTTTAAATAAGCAGGAGGGCTGGAGCTTATCCTCTCTGGGATAGCGTGAAAGGCAGGCTGCACACCAGACAGGTTTCCAGTCTGTCACAGGACTAAAAAACACAACGTAATC